TTCCACACACTCTGTAGACATTTGAAAATATATTAATACAGATTATTATGTTTGTATCTTAAAACATGGAATCTAGCAATGTTTTTAGCTTGATAGGAATATTTTAATTCATGAGTTTGTTTCATACATGCAGTTCAGTTATCCTATAAGGGAGAAAGAGAACTTGGAGGTACAAGTGATTTTTGCTGTATTATCTATTTGATAATAAAACAATCCAGGCACTATATATTGTCTATTGGGGCAGAACTTTTGAATCTCACCTTCATTAGAATACACCACCACACTGAACTGTTCACACTCTCAACACTTTCCTTGTTATATCCTTAATCTCATCCAGCTGTATTCATAACAATGCCCTTACTGAGAAAAAGACAACTACAGTTATTCAGGATGTAAGCTGGCGTGCTCAGCGCAGACCTGGATGGCTTAGATTTAGGGTCCTGGGTGGTAAATAGAGCAGCAGAGTTGAGAGGCACTGTGACGCTGACCTACACACACAGGAACACAGCATCTGAGTAGCAGCCATCATACCTGCGGCAGGAAATCGGTCACCTGCTACTCAGCATGCAAGTTTGGCAGGTGACCTTGGAAAACAAGTCCTTAATAGGGGTGCATTTTAGGATCCATGCTTAGTCTTTGATATTCTAGGAAGATAACTTCTGAATGACAAGAATAGTTGTGAAAAGGAAGAGAAGTAGAAAGATTCCTTGTTTCAAAACACTAGAAATCATGTAAGTGTTAGAAGTTGGTTTTCCTAATAATAAACTATAGAGGGAAGGCATAGCTATGAATTGAAAGGCACGGCTTTTTAAAAAAAAAAAAAATTGTTTTTAATAGGAGGCTGTGAATCCTGAAGGAGATTCAAAGACTAAATTTAAAATAATCTATATATAGAACCAGTACCACATGAGGATGTGAGATTTTAGAACGTATCACTGAACGAGCCTTGTGACTTATGAAGAAGGTGGTCCATAGGTGTCTTTAGATGACTGAGTGACAGGACTTTTAGGTAGGTAAGGGATGATCTGAGTCACCCCTTGGTGTTCTTTTAGATTTATGTATCTAGGTTTTGCTATCTCCTTTGACAAGTTAAACTTTTTTCTACCTAAAAATATAATTTAGGTGTTTTTTTTTGTCTTTTTCATTTTACCACATAAAGTTGTTTTACACAGCCACATCTGAGCAATTTGTCTTCATACTATGTTCCTTGGAGACCCATCTGGTCTTAAATAGAAACTCAACTTGGATGTATTGATTTTTTTTTCCATTCTTACACATGGGATTTTCCCAGAGAATGTGTGTGTTCTTGAAGTATTATCTCCTTTGAGAATAAGTGCATACCGAAACACATCACTTGATACCTCTCTAGCTATAATAATATAAAGCAGCCAGCAGAAGGTCACATTTCTTTGAACATCTACACAGAGAATATGTCCAAATTAAACACCATCCTAAATAAAAAATCTTGAAAGGTTTAAATAATTCAGCCATTTCTAAAAACATAGGGTCTTGAAATTTTTTGTGTATTTCCCAATTTAAATACAAGAATGTGAATTTTAAAGAATAAGTATTTCATCAATCCATATACAAAGTCCATGTACTCTGTCAGTCTGTAGGTTCCCTGATTCCCTTTTCTGCAATTTTAGAGAAGCCAATTCGATTGCTTCTTTTCTCAGTTAAAATTTTTTTTCTTTGAATTTGCCATGGGAAAAAAAGAAAAACATCCAGTTGTAATCTCTTCTTTGCCATCCATGATGCATTACATTTTAACCAGGTTTCTCCTCCCTGTGAGGAAGCTATCCTAAGAACCAGTCTTTCAAGAATAATGATTACCTAGCTATTTGGTAATGAGAGGGTGGGTAGATTATGAATCTTGCATGATAGGTAGCATATTATGTTAGCAACAGTCTCACCTCACCTTTGAGTGTGGCTTGTGTTCTCATTAATAAATCTGGGGATCAATTACATTTACATTTTTATGAGCATGTTAAGGTTTGTCAGCTGTGTTTAATACAGTTGGATGTCAAATACATTCTGATTTCAGATCTCAGTGAAAATTTAATAAAGATGTTATATGATCACAAAAGAAAAATAACTGCTCTTCAAAGCTATATTTATTCAATAATATTTAAGTGTTTTCATTATGCTTGAATTTTTATTGTCAGCCCTTGTGAAAGTGGTATCTAATCTTCTCTTCAGAAATAAAAGCATGGAAGAACTTGTGAGGCAAAAGAACAGCCAGATGAATTTATTGAACAAATTTCTGATTTATTATCATTAATATTATTTATTGT